AGGAGATTTCAACACATTCATTCATGGTAGTATTATTTGCAATAGTTCTGATACTGGAACTGACTTAAATGCTTGATAACACATGGGCTAAGTAAATTATAATAGTGTGCTGGAATAATTTGATATCATTGAAGATGTTTTATTGGACTCTCACAAAGGATTTTTAAATATATTGATTGACATTGATAGATTATAGTGCAGTGCTTGTTATGATCTTGCTTTTGGATTTTACAAAAACATATCTTTGCATGTATACAGAAGTAACTCTGGAAAAACAGATTCCAAATATGAGTAGGAAGTTACTTGGGTAGGTAAGGAGTGGAGAGACCAAGAGTTTCCTATAAATACATTCTTGAAGAATAGTGAAAAGAATTGAAGTATGAACGCTTGTGGGGTTTTTGTTATTGGTTATTTACTTACTTCTTATTTTTTAAATCCCATGCTGGCAGTGTCAACAGGTGAAGAAAAAACCCACGCAATCCATGGTTAAGGACAGAGAACGGAGCCTGGCCATGAGGCAGGAAACACACGCTGAGGTGCCAGAAGCACAGTAACACTGGTCAAGGATGAAGTCAGACACAAAGAGCTTGCACACGAACTAGGAGGCTGGAAACAAAGGCCCAGACAGAACAGGCATTCTGGCATGTCCACCGCTTGCAAAACATGGGGCTTTGCTATTCCAGGTCTCAGGCTATAACAGGTAATAAATTTTCTAAGCTAAATAAAGATTCAAGTGGTTTAAAAAGTTCCATAATAACATCGCCAAGTGGACATGGATACAAATCCATTTAAAACTAATTTTAAAAACTAGACTTTTAAAGGAAAACTTAAGGAATATATTTTGAAACCTTTCAGTATTTCTCTAAAATGTATTATCTTCTTTTAAAAAAAAAAAGCTTTTTTAAAAAAGAAATTATTTGAAAAGCAAAGAGGGAAAGAGAGATTTTTTCATTGCTGGCTCCCTTTCCAAACAGCCACAACAGCTAGGGCTGGGCCAGGCCAAGGCAAGGGGCTCTGTCAAGGTCTCCCGTGTGGGTGGCAGGAAGACCAGGCTGCAGGTCCACGCTCCTGGCTTTGGCCTAGCAAATTTGGCCATTGGGACTATTTGGCGGAAGGAACCAGTATATAGATTTGTCTCTCTGTCCTTCTCCTCCTTCTCTATCCTTCTCTATTTCAAATGAATAAATAAAAATCTTTAAAGCAAACAAAAAAAGGTGCTCAGGCCCCAGTCTCATGATAACAAAGTGTATAATGTGTATTTTTTGTTGTTGTTAATTGAAAAGTCAGACATACAGAGAAGGAGAGACAGAGAAGATCTGCTATCCATTGATTCACTCCCCAAGCAGCAGTGATGGCCAGAGCTGTGCTGATCCGAAGCAAGATCCCAGAGCCTCTTCCGGGTCTCCCACATGGGTGCAGGGTCCCAAGACTTTGGGCCGTCCTAGATTGCTTTCCCAGGACACAAGCACCTTGGGTTAGACCATCACATCCATGGGGGAGAGCACAGCCTTGCTACTCTATGGACTGCCCACAGAAATGAGCTCTTGCTCAGGGAGAGTGTTCTATCAAACCTGCTGCTGCTGTCACTTTTGCCCTCAGCCACCTATGATCTTACCTCCTCCAGCCACCTTGAAAACTGACACACATTCTGTCTAGGACTTCATTCTCCTATTTCTCCTGCATCTCAAGTTGGCACACAACTCCTTTTTGTTCATGGGGCATTGTTTCTAATCACTATAAACAGGGCAAGGAGGATGGGGGTGGGGGGAGTAAGGCAAAAGATGATGATGAAAACTGAAGAAAAGGAAGACATCTTGCAGAACTGTCTCATAATAGCTGCCCAAATGCCTTAAACATTTCCCAACACATTGTACGAGTAATAGAAGGATACTTCAAACCACTGGAGGAAAGTACCTAGGATGAAAAAACTATTTATAGATTTCAAAATTTTTTGCACCAAAAATATTTTTTTCCACAAACTATTCGAAGTGTATACATATTTGCTGGATTAGGTTTATCAAACATGTATATCATTTAAACCTCAAAGATGTGTAAACAGAGTATTTTCCAGATCTTAGGGTCCAGATGTTAAAGGGTTAGTAGTTAAGACATTGGTTGATGCATTTGCATCAGTATTGGAGTGCCTGGGTGTGGGTCTCAGTTTGCTCCTGATTCTAATTTCCTAACAAGGCACAACCTGGAAGCCAGTGATGCCTCGTGTCGTTGGATCCCTGCCACCTACAGCGGGAGACCTGCATTCAGTTCCAGGCTCTGGGCCTGCAGGAACATAGGGAATCAGCCAGTGGATGGGAACTCTGTGTTTCTGTTTGCCTCTCAAATGAATAATTTAAGATACAGACATGTTAGGGGCTGCTATTGTGACATCTGAGGTCAAGCTGCCACCAGCATCCCACATGGGCAGAGGTCAGCTGCCCCACTTCCAACGCAGCTCCCTGTGAGAAGCCCAGATGAAATTCTCGGCTCCTGGACAAGCCTGACTGTTGCAGCCATCTGAGGAGTGAACCAGTTGGTGGAGTATCTTTCTTCCCTCTCACTTTGCCTCTCAAATGTATAAATTTCAATCCCTTTTAATCTCTAATCCATATACATAATGGATTAGAGACAATTAAGACTTTTCCAAGGTCACTCTGTGACCGTTCAGATTCTGAAAACAAGCCTCATAATTTTTAGCTCAATGCTTTAGTTCAATATTTTTTTGGGTGACATTTTTAAGTTACAGTCAAAGGTGTTAAAAGTATGGATGGTTTCATGACTGAATGTCCTATGTGCTACCACAAGTGCTCCAGTGCTTTTTGACTACACCACAAGTTATCTTGGAAAGTGATAGCTGTTACCTCTCCTACATCGCGGAAGGACAGCCTGCTATATAATGATTTGAGAATCTGGGGAAAAGGCTACTCTCGGGGGTTAACCAAATAACATGAAACGAGTGGCTGTAGCTGTCATTTTGTGGAAGAAGATATCATCCAAATCAAAGAAATAAGTTGTTACCATTCAAGGGACAATGAGATACAGCCTCCAGAGGATAACTCTGAAATAGAACTGAGTAAAAACAAAGTATTCGGTTAATAATGTTAATGTCTAGCGATTGTAATGCATGCTACCACAGTGAAAGGAGTGCCACTTTCTGGTTAATGATACTCCTGATGACAGGCTGTCTTTCCAGCTCCAGCAAATCATCTTTTCTCATTTCAGCCTCTTCCAGACAGGACTCAGCTCACATAAGTATTGTTAATACTGGTAGTTATGTTTACATATAAATATGAAATGTGTGTTTATATAACAGCTCTGGGTTTAGTTCATGTGAGTCAGTTCTCTTGACAATTACCTTCTGCTGTCTAGACAAGGGTCTGTGCAATAATGGAAGCCCTGACATATGATGCTGGCATCAAGGCATGACTATCCTGCGAGATCCTGGACTCCTTTGATCCATCATTGCTGAGACTGTGTCTGGGTCATGCCAAGCCAAATCAAAGCAGTCACCAGCATGCACAAGAACTGGGGCTGGGAACAGGGCTGGTAGTGGAACTCTGGGTACTACCCTCCTGGGCCAAAGCTCCCACTGGTAAGTGCAACAGCCAGGGCTGTGGGTGGACCAGGTTGGGCAAGGTTGCAGTACCCATCAGCATGTGTTTGGGTTGGGTCTGGTGGTAGACCACACTGCACTGGGCTTCAACACCTATTGGCGCTCATGAGAGCCGCAATGGGTGTGGGACAGGCAAGTGTAGGTCACAACACTTCCTGGGTCAAAAGAGAGCTGGGTCTGGGGTGGACCAGGTTGGGCTAGACTGTAGCACCCATTGGTGAGTCCCAGAATGGGTGTGGGCCAGTTGAGCTAGGCCACAGGACCCACTGGTATCAGGTGTGTGAGGGCTGTGTATATAAAACTGAGCAATAGCACCTGTTGGCACATGGGGTTGGGGAGAGGAAGTCAGCACTGGGAGCAAGTCTCATAGGGGAACTTGGGGAACTCTCCGGCTAGGCACAGCTCATGCTGGCAAGCACCAGAGCTAGGACTGGGAGTAGGCTAGACCAGGTTGGGCTGCAGCATCCTTCAGCAAACGTGTGAGGCGGGCTGGGCAGTCAGTTCACAATATACACTGGCACGAATGAGAGCCAGGATATGGTGTAGGCCAGGTTAGGTTGGACTGCAACATTTGTCAGTTCACATGAGGGCTGAAGTTGGACCAGACTTGGCTAGGTTGTTGCATCCACCAGTGAGAGCTGGGCTGGGAGCAGGCTGGGCTAAGCCAGGATGTATCACCTGCTGGCAAATGCCAAGACTTGGGGGGAGTCATCTTGGACTTGGGGTACACACAAGACCCTGGGGTGGGAGCAGGACTGGTAGGGGAACTTTGGGGATTCCCTTGCTAGGCTGCTGCTTCCACTGGTGAGCACGAGAGCTGGAATTAGGGGCTAGTCTGCTGTACCTGCTAGCATACACAGGTGCCAGAATGGGTGCAGGCTTGGCAAGTTAGGCAACAGCACTAGCTGGCAAGTGCTGAGACTGGGTGTGCATCTTGTCAGGCTGGGCCACTATAGCCCCGGGCAGGTGTAAGATCTGAGGATCAGAAAATGCCTGACAGGGTACTGTGGGCATTCCCCTGCTAGCTGCACCTATCACTGGTAAGTACAAGAACCAGGGCTTGACAGCAGGCCAGGCTGTACAAGGTGGTGGCACCTCTTGGCATACATGTGGGTTGGGTCAGGCTCAGCTAAGACACAGCATCAATGTGTGTGCACGAGAGCTGGATGTGACCTGGGCTGGGCTGGGCCACAGCAGAGGCTGGCATGTGCAAAACCAGGGCTGGAAGTGGGTCTAGTGGGGGTTATTAGGAGTTTCCCTGACAATGCCACGGCATTTGCTGATCTGCCTGAGGAATGGGTCTGTGGGGGGCTGGCTGGGCTGGGCTATAGCACCCATTGGTTTGTATGAGCTATGGAGCTGATGCAGAACTGACCAAGCCGCATCCACTGGTTTGTGTGTGGACTGATGGAGGTGACAGATTTTACCTGACCTTGCACTGGCTGGCACACATCAGACTCAAGTCTGAGGTTACCCCAGGCAAGGTTTCTTGGGGTACTACCCACCTAGACTGCTGGACTGAGACCCTGACCACAGGGAGAATCACAGAATATGCTTGGAGTGCGTGGATCAGGACTGGGCCTCCGCAGTCACTGAAGCCAATGCAGAGGAAACGTGATGGTCTGCTCATCAAGGCCAGCAAGGGACAACACCTGCCTCATCAGAGAATGGAAAGCAGAACATGCTGGACAATTTTCCTAGCCAAGCTCTGCAGCATGATCTCGGGTCTGTGGCTGCACCAAGTGGCCTTGGTCACCCAGTAGACTTGGAAAGCTTTTCTCAACCCTGGAGCAACAAAAGCAGTAATATCTCAATCAAGTAACACCCTCAGAATACTCTTCCTTACATCGGGGTCTCAACGGACTCTCTCCCATCCCTGGGTGCTGATGTAGTTCAACAGCAAGGAGTGACCCTCTTCTCCTCCCAAGAACAAAGGAGAAAAAAGAAAAACAAACAAAAAGCCACTTCCTCCATACCTGAGTGTCCCTACCCTACTCAGAGGCCCACATGGACATGCATCCCTCAGTTACATAAATAATATTAAAAATAAAAAATTTTGGAGGGTGATTCTCACATTAGATTGGTTCATTCTTTACCTAGGAAAGTAAGTAATCATTTCAAAGATCTCTTACAGAATTTTAGAAATAAATCCCTTTGTTGTGCTAAGAAACAACAAAATCCTTCTGCATTTTCTGCGGCATCTATTTGCTCTTTTGTTACTTGTGATCTAGCCCAAAGTGCTGCATGCAGATCCCGCCCCCACTTTTTTTTGGAGAGTTCTCATTTGATAACCCATTATCTCCCATCTAATTAAAAAAAAAAAAAAAGGAATGGGAAGGGGAGAGACAACATTCTCAAGTGCTACCTCATTCCTAAATGCCCAGAGCGCTTGAAGCCAGGTCAGGGCACTTGATCTTGGATTCCCATTCTCCAAAACTATTTACAAATCACCTAGTCTTCATAGTTCGTTAGTGCAGCCACAAAGGACTAAGTCTGTTTTAATCTTTTCTTTTAATAAGGCCATTTGACATTAAAAGCCTTTTCACCTTTCCTCGTGTTCAAATAATTGGGATGTTTTATGGAACCATAGAAAGAGAGGACTCCTGTGGATGAGGTAGGACTGGGCCAGGGCTGATTTCCTAACTTTGTAGCTTTGGGGTTCTAGCCTGTTATTGATGAAAGACTGAAAATTTGAGCCTTTTCTGGGTAGCCTTTCTCTGCTTGAAAAATTTGCTTGGAAAGATTCTCTTTCTCCAACTTGGTTTCCCTGAGGTCAATTATCCTTATCTTCAAAATTACATTTATTTTCAGGGATTTTTTTAGATTATTCCACTGGATCTTTTGCCAATCCCAGCCTAAAATAAAATGCCATGGAGTGTCAGAAGAATTTATCCACTATGGGTTCTAAGCACCCTGGCACACTTATTGAATATGCCCAAAATACAAGAACATGGTCCATATCTTGAACTTATGCTTGCTCTAAGCAAATCTGAGAGTGTTACAACTCCTGTCGGACAAAGAACAGGACTGTTCCGGCTTATCATAAAAGTGTGACTATCTGAAGTTCCATGTTCGTTTCCTGCAATACAATTCACTGTCTGCAGGTTCCCATCGTGCTGGTGTTCCTGTGGGAATCAGGGAAATGAGAAACTGAAAGCCCGTAGAAAGCTCTGGTTAGAGTCTTTGCTTATTTTTGGCCAAGGTATCTTGTGTATTGTGTTTCAACCTACAAAACAGTAATAGGCTAACTTGTTAGCTCGTAAGAAAGGTAAAATCTCAGCCTATGCATTTTAGTGACTATTCTTTTCCTGGCAACAATGTCATTTGAGGCACTATAACTTGATTACTAATATGTAAATTTATTATTAGCATTAAAAGTCACAAGAGGGGGCATTTTATTAAGACTTAGCTAATAATACTACAAAAAGCAAAAGCCCTCCAATTCCTGTGAGTTTACTTGAGTGTATTCAAGACCAGTAATAATTTCGCTGTCTGATTGAAGCACCAAGAGGACTAAATTCAATGCTCGGCGCCATGCCTCGATCTTTGGTGTAACAACATCATAAACTCTTGTAATCTGCTCCAGTTTACTTGAAATCCCCGAATTGAAAACTCCACTATTTAATTCACTGTATTTCTTCAGGACATATGACGAAGCAGAGCCAGAATCTTTGGCATTTTGTAGATGCTGCTGCAGGAGTGAGCTGGCTTCAAATTGCGACGAGTACTGACCAGTGTTACAGATAAGAGTTGAAAGGTACTTCTGCCACCCGCTTGCAAGGCAGTTGAGCACAGCTGGTCCGTATACTGCCAGAGATGAGGCTAACCAAGAGGAAGTATTAGGAAGCCATCCCGACCAGGCACGGTTTCCTTTTCTCTGAGATTGCTCTGCAAGAATTTGAAGATGGCTAAGACATAAAAATTCAACTGCACCACCTCCAAGGAAGACTTTCTCCTCTTTTAGAGCACAATGTAAACGATAGGCACAAGTCCAGAACCTGTCTTCTTTGGCTTGTATCTGTGCAGTGACCGGGCTGGTGAGCACTGCTGTGACCAAATTCATTCCTTCTTTATTTAACATGACTGCTCTTTTGTTGCTCCTATCCAGAACGCCCAAGGGACTGCTCCAGGTGCTCACGTGGACCCCACTGCCCACACAGCCTTCATTCACTTGTGTAATATAAGCCACCTGGACAGCTCCTGCAGCCTCTGCAAAAGCCTGCATCACCTGGCTGTCCACAGACCCAATTACCAACCGCTTACTGTGGATGCACCTTTCAACTAACTGTGCAGATACCTTTCCTTGGACCAGTAGGAGGTTCACATCAAACTGGGTTAATACCTGCAATACACGATCCATCCACAGTTCTTCTGAGCTATCTTCTTGAAGTTTCATGCCATCTAGGACTGTTTTAACATTTGCAGACTTATTAAATCCTACATGGCGATAATTCTCAGTGAGGTCACCTTCAATGAGAACTACCCGGACTGGCTGATTCTGCAATGCCTCGATCAGAGCGGCAGTCGATACTGACACATGAGTGATGTATCCTGGACAAACACAAGAAAATGCTTCGGGTAAACCTGGCAGACAACAAGTGAAGATTCTTGAAATGTCAAACACGAATGGCGCAGCAGGGCTGTTCTGTCCCACACATGCAGTCTGACACTGCAGCTGCACCGCTTCTTCCACTAGCTTCATGCTGCTGTGGTCTCCGTGACTCAAGCCCACTGCCAACTCCATCAAATCAGTGCATGGAGTAGACACGCCATGTTGTAGGATTCCACCTGGCTTGTGTATCCACCAATTATCTGTCTTATTAAAATGCCTACTGTGTCTTAACACTGACTTTTGGCAGCAGGGGTGAGGGCGCAGCCTGTGTTTCAGAGCTGGTGATGTGCTTCCATCAACTCCAACCTCCGCCTGGGTCCTGAAGAGTTCAGGGGACTTCACAGGCGACTTCTCAGAAAGACTGGAAATGGCTGATGGCTGCGAGGTACCACCTTTGAGGTCTTGCTTTTCCTGTATCAAACCAGTGTCTGGGGGAACTTGCACAAAAGGTGACAAACTGATGCTGAATGTCTCAAGTCCTGAAAATGTCCTTGTGCTGTCCATCTGGTTAAACACGTTGTGGATAGGCACCTGAAGGGAAACTACCTCATCACTGCAAGAATTCAAGCCTTCTGACATCACTGACACTATTACGGGAATCGGGACACCCATATGCAGACATTCTTCAACAGCTCTACTCCACGCACCGACGAGAAACAAGAGAGTGGTGGTCCCAGTTTTGTATGCGCTGTTCTGTGCTTGAACCGCTTCACTGAGAAGCTGTCCCGCTGCACTGCTTAAATCCAAACTTTCAAGAAGCCTTACTGCAGAGCTGACTAACAGACTTTCACAACCCTGTCCATCAACAACAAATTTGGTGGCTTTCACTGGGCCTAGGAAAGTTCTTCCTGTTTCTGCAAATGATGAGAGTTGTTGCAGTCCCACATGCCTCGTTTTGTGTACAACCCTGTAAGCCATCACCATGAATCATCATCTGCAAATAAGATAAAAATGTGGAACTTTATTCAGTATAATTCATGCAGAAAGAAACAGAGCATATGGTCCCTGCCTCTGAGGCAGACAAGTTCCACTAATTCTGGTCAGCGCAATGATACAGAATAGCATGAGCAAAATGGGGTCACAGAGGAGGAATATTTCTTTTTTTAAAAGATTTATTTTTTATTTTTATTGAAAAGTCAGATATGCAGAGAGGAGGAAAGACAGAGAGGTAGATCTTCCATTCGTTGATTTACTCTCCAAGCAGCCACAACAACTGGAGCTGAGCCAATCCGAAGCCAGGACCCTGGAGCCTCTTCTGCATCTCCCACGTGGACACCCAGCGTCCCAAGGCTTTGGGCTGTCCTCGACTGCCTATATGGGATCCTGGTGCATGCAAGGCAAGGACTTTAGTCACTAGGCTACCTCCGAGGACCCAGAACGTTTTCTTCAACAAGGGAAAGGGAGCACAGGCCCCAGGCAATGTGGAGAAGCTGGGAATCTCTGGAATGAGTGCTAGAGAATTCCTGGAAGAGCAGAAAGCTGAAGGAGATGGTCGCTAATAAACACACATGTGAAAACAACACTGTGGATTGGGGTCATGCAAGTTGGTTTTACAGGAATACAAGGAATGTAATGGAGAATGGTGAGGATGAGGCTGGAGGAGACAAAGGCAATTTGAGCAACACCAAGAAGCTTCAGCTTGATCTTGGAATGGAAACCCCTGAGGTGCCCGAGACTGTAAGCAATGGGCTACACTTCTGACTCTAGAAATCTGGGTTTGGGCCCGGCGGCATGGCCTAGCGGCTAAAGTCCTCACCTTGAACGCCCTGGGATCCCATATGGACGCTGGTTCTAATCCTGGTAGCTCCACTTCCCATCCAGCTTCCTATTTGTGGCCTGATAAACCAGTCAAGGATGGCCCAAAGCCTTGGGACCCTGCACCCGCGTGGGAGACCCAGAAGAGGCTCCTGGCTTCGGATCAGCACAGCATCGGCCATTGCGCTCACTTGGGGAGTGAATCATTGGATGGAAGAACTTCCTCTCTGTCTCTCCTCTCTGTATATCTGACTTCCCAATAAAAATAAATAAACCTTTAGAGAAAAAAGAAATCTGGATTTGACCTTGGCTGTACTGTTTACTAACTGTGTAGCTTTCAGAGATACTTAACTACTTTGCTCCTGTTTCTACTGGGGCTAATAAAAGAACCTACTTCATGGGATCATGATTTGTTTTTAAAGACTCACTTTACCTGAAAATCAGAGAGAGGGAGAGAGGGAGGGAAAGAGGTTGAAAAGGAGATCTCCTTACACTGGTTTACTCCCTAAACGACTGCAATGGTCAGAGCTGGGCTGGACTGAAGCTAGGATCCGGGAGCTTCTTCTGGGTCTCCCATGTGGTGCAGGGGCTCAAAGATCAGAACTACCCCCTGCTGCTTTCTCAGGCCATTAACAAGGAGGTGGATCAGAAATGGAGCAGCCAGGACTAGAACCAGCACCCATTTGGAATTCCTATGCTGCCAGTAGAGGATTAGCTTGCTATGCTACCATGCTGGCTCCAAGAAGTTATTTTGAGGAATAAATATAATGCTTAGAACAGTGCCTACTACGTGTTTTTTGAGTGTTTTATTTAAAAACAATAATATTCAGACATATTACTACTCCAAAAACAGTGTAAGGCAATGACTGGATGACTACCACATTGGAGAAGAGGCCAGTTAAAGAACTTTTATAGGGGCTGGCACTGTGGTACAACAGATTAAGCTGCCACTTACAATGCTGGCATCACATATGGGTACAGGTTCAAGTCCCATCTTCTCCATTTTCAATCCAGATTCCTGCTAATACACGTGGGAAAGCAGTAGAAAGTTTCCCAAATCTTTGGGCTCCTGTACCCAGCTGGACACCCGGATAAGGCTCCAGGCTCCTGGCTCCCAGCTCCGGTCGGGCCCAGCCCAGGCCACTGGGTCTATACGGGCACTGAACCAAAACCAGGAAGATATCCGTCTCTCCTCTCGGTAACTCTCTTTCAAATAAACAAACAAACAAATAAATCTTTTGAATGAAATCTATAGTTATTTAGATGGGAAACAAGGAAGATGGATGAGTTAGGTTTTAGATTAGATTTTAAAAGAAAAATCAATACTTTTCAAAGGGTAGGTAAAGAGCACTGAACTCAACACTGAGCAATTTTCAGAATTCATATTCAAAATTAATAGAAAAAAATTTTTTTAGCTTTCTTTTTTTTTTAAGATTGATTTACTTATTCATTTATTTTAATAAAGAGTTTTTGCACACAGGTGCAGGGTCCCAAGGCTTTGGGCCGTCCTCGACTGCTTTCCCAGGCCACAGGCAGGGAGCTGGATGGGAAGCGGGGCTGCTGGGGTTAGAACCGGCGCCCATATGGGATCCCAGGGCGTTCAAGGCGAGGACTTTAGCCACTAGGCCATGCCGCTGGGCCCCCAAATTAATAGAAAATTACAAGATAAATACTTCAATCCAATGAAAAACATTTTTTATTTTTTTAAAAGATTTATTTTTATTATTTTTTCATTGGAAAGGCGGATATACAGAGAGGAGAGACAGAGAGGAAGATCTTCCATCCGATGATTCACTCCCCAAGTGAGCGCAACGGGCTGATACTATGCCGATCCGAAGCCAGGAGCCTCATGCGGGTGCAGGTTCCCAAAGCTTTGGGCCGTCCTCGACTGCTTTCCCAGGCCACAGGCAGGGAGCTAGAAGGGAAGCGGGGCTGCTGGGACTAGAACCAGTGCCCTTATGGGATCCCGGGCGTGCAAGGCGAGGATCTTAACCACTTGCGCCACCGCGCCGGGCCCGAAAAACATTTTTTAAACAAGGCATTTCCTAAGTGAAAAGTCACTGTAATAAAATTATATGCCTCATGAAGTCTGAGCTCGTTGTTACTTAAATATTATACACAACATCAGCTTCCTGAGGTTGGCATTGTGGTACAGTGGGTTAAGCTGCCACTTGCAATGCAGTAAGTCCCAGCTCCTACACCTCCAGTCCAGCTTCCTGTTAATGCACTGGGGAAGACAGTGATGACTTAAGCACCTGGGCTCCTGGCACGCGTGCAGGAGAGCAGGCCCCTCGCTCCCCATGTGGCCTTGCCCAGAGACGGCTGTTGCAGCCATCTGGAGAGCCAAGCAGCAGATTGTTGATGTCTACAGCCAATAAGCAGTTACTGCTGTTTCATTCTCTTCCAGGCCCGGGCAGCCACCAATCTGCTTTCTGAGTAACTGTGGTTTTCCTTATTCTGGCTTTTTTACATAACATGTAACCTGTGTTTTATGCTTTGCATAATATTTCTAAGCTTCATCCCTAATGTGCACGCTATGCTACGTACAGGACTTGATTTCCTTTCCGCTCTATGTATTACATCTGCTTTATCCTTGGCTCCCATTGATGGAAACTTAGGTTGTTTTCACCTCGTGGCTACTGTGATTGGTATTTCTACGACCATCTGGGTATAAGTTTGCATATTTGTCTTCAGTTACTTTGAGTGATGGCTTAGGAACGAAAATGTCCATTCATATAGTAATTTTCACTTTTTATTTTTTATTTATTTACTTAAATTTCTTTTTATTGGAAATGCATAAATAAAGAGAGGAGATACAGAGGGAAAGATCTTCCATCTGCTGATTCATTCCCCAACTGGCCACGAGAGCCAGAGCTGAGCCGATCAGAAGCCAGGAGCCTCTTCTGGGTCTCCCACGCGGGCGCAGGGTCCCAAGGCTTTGGGCCGTCCTCGACTGCTTTCCCAGCCACAATCAGGGATCTGGATGAGAAGCAGAACAGTGGGTATATGAACTGGTACCAATATGGGATCCTGGCACATGCAAGGCGAGGATTTTAGCCACTAGGCTATCATGCTGGGCCCTTAATTTTTACTTTTAAAAGTTTTGCACATGGTATAAGGTAGGGATCCATATCATGAACCTGCAGAGGCACATGTCTTGTTCAGGTGTGAGAGTCCTGTTATGGTCTCCTTTCTTACTATTGTTACAGGTGGGTGTTGGGGTGCAGCACCTTAAGCTGCCAGCTTTATTGCTGGCATTGTAAATGAACACTGGTTCAACTCTCCACTGTTTCACTTCCAACTCCATCCTATGTTAATACTCCTGAGAAGCAGCAGCAGATGGCCCAAGCGCTTGGGCTCCTGCCAACCACACGGGAGACCCAGGAGCACTCAGGCTCCTGGTCTGGCCACTCCATCACTGCAGCCACGGGGGAGAACTAGCAATGGGGAGATTCTGTCTGTCTCTTTTCTCTCTATGCCTTTAGCTTTGCCTTTCAAATAAGCATATAAGTGAATAAACAAATAAATACTGTTTTGAAATCACAAGATATTTTTATATGAGTGGAAAAATAATAGAGAACTCAAAAAAAAGGAGAACTTAGAGAAAAAGGTTATTTCATATCTAATCCCCCCCTTTTTTTAAGAAAAAGATTTATATTTGTTTCTCTTGGAAAGGCAGATTTACAGAGAGAAGGGGCAAAGAGAGAAGGATCTTCTGTCTACTGGTTCACTTCCCAAGTGTCCACAACGGTTAGAGCTGAGCTGATATGAAGCCAGGAGCCAGGAGCTTCCTCTGGGTCTTCCACCCAGAGGCTTTGGGCTATCCACCATTCTTTCCCAGGCCACAAGCAGGGAGTTGGAAGGGAATTGGAGCAGATGGACATGAACAGGCACCCAAATGGGATCCTGGTGCATGCAAAGTGAGGATTTAGCCACTAGTTAAAATTAGCTATAAATTTTAGCTTTATAGCTAATTTATACAAGATGATTTCCCCATCAGAAAAGACATGAGAATTTTTAAATAAAACAAACCTACACGCAGAAAGTCATGTAATACTATTATCAAAGATATTTGGGCCTGGGCATTTGACCCAATGGTTAAGATACCACCCTATTGTCCTGGAGCACCTAAGTTCTAGTCCTGGCTCTGTTCCCCATGTCCAGTTTCCTGATTATGTAAACCCTGGGAAGCAGCAGGAGACAGCTCCAATGTCCAGGGCTGTGCCGCCCTACTGCGAAACCTGGCCTGAGATTCTGGCTCATGGTTTTGGTCGGGGCTAGCCCAGATAAGGCAGGCATCTACAGAGTGAACCAGAAGACGGAACACGTCTGTCTCTATGTACCTCTTCTATCTCTCTGCCTTTCAATTTCAAAATATTTCAATAACATATTTTAAGTAACTAAAAAGTGCTAATTTTTATTTATTTTCATTTTACTTGAAAGGCAGACAGACCGAGACCGTCTAACTATTGACTCAATTCCTCAAATGCCCACAACAGCCCGGACAGGCCCAAGTGAGGCTCCTGTAGTGTCTGGGTCTCCCACCTGGGCGACAGGGATCTAAGTGCTGGCCATGACCTCCAACTGCACAGCGTGCACACCAACACGAAGCCAACCTGGAAACGGGACGGGACACAGCACCGCAGCGCGCAGGCAGAAGCCCAGGCAATGTCTTCACTGTCGCACCACATGTTCACTCCCCAAAACCCATTCAAAAGCCATCTGTTTCAGCACTACCCCAAACCTCAAAAGCAATTTTTAAAGCAAATAAGCCTCAACATTCAGAACTTTGAAAAGCGAATTGGTATTTTGAAGAGGTTATAACTGGCTATTGCTAGTATAAAATAAAAACTGAAAACAAGAATCCCTCATCTTTTTAAGGGATTGGATATAAAAACAGCAGACTGGTGAGCATCCAAGACGGTCAGCAGGATCCTTGTCCTGCTTCAGCACCGGTGTCTCCCACAGGCAGCCCCGTTCTCACTGCTTGCCAACCTGAGGTTTCTCTAACTCACTAAGGCGTGTCGGGGAAGAGCAGGCTCAGACTACTTCACTGAGATTTAACACCAGAGGTGTTCTTTTCCTAAGATCATGCCTCGCCTTGAGCAAGGTGCTTGGCTTAAATATCAAGACATGCAATATTTTACAGGAGCTGCATTTAAAAATAATCAGTATTTTCAAACAGTTATGATATCAGTCTTTTTATCATCAGTACCAACAATTTCCTCATCTTGTCTATTCCTTACACGGCAGTCTAGGCAGGTAAGTTCATTGAAAACCCCCCGACTCAGAAAACAGCTTATGACTTGCCTGAAGTCCCTTTTAATAATCAATGAAGATCCTTCTGAAATCTTGCAGAGCTTCCCCATGCTGCAAACCCAAAGTCCTTACAATGCTCCAATAACCTGTACCCTCTGACCTGGCCTCTTGCTATCCTCCTTGACCTTGCTGGCTCCCTACCCCAAGCGTGCTTCTGTTCCAGTAGTTCCTTCTTTCCACAGTGTTCTTCACTCAGTAACCCATTGCCTCACCATCTTTGAACATTTTCTCATATTTCCCTCTTTCAAAGAGGCTTCCCCTAACAACATATTTGATACTACACGCTCCTCTTTCCCCTGACACGCCGATTCCATTTACTGTGTATACTTTGTTGTTTTTTTCCTTTGTACAACTTATCACTTTATAAAATAGTATGTAATTTACTTATTTCCTTACTACCTATGGACCATATCACTCTTTTGGAAGATGACTTCCACATGGAAAATTTTAACATGAACGTGTCCCAGTAAATAGATTGCTTGGCACATTGCAATTATGCAACACATATTTGATAAATGAGGAATGAGTAATGTTCTCTGTAAATTACTTCAAATTTAACTGCAAAATTTAAGTACAATAAAAAAGGGGAGATGCCATCATTTGTTTTCCTGCAGCTGGAACATGAAGTCCAACTACCTTTGGTGTTCACATGATTCCTATTTGGCACTGCTTTATTTAAGGGCCATTATATTCAAAGAGAGTTCCTTACTCACAAAATTCTCAAAATTCTGTCTGAAAGAGGTCAAATCTAATCACAGTACCCCACTGCTGAAAGTGCATATCTTGCGACCTAAACTCTTTACTCCTCAGCTTGTCCTACGATTGGCCTTAATATATAAGACAAATTGTCCACCTTTCCTCATAAACTTACTTCATACTCTTGCCATACTAGAATATTCGTTTCACCTTGCAATGCTCCGCTGGTGTGAACACAATCCTCTCTCCTAGTCTCCAGGAATGCCATCTCCTTTTTATAACTCAGCAGATCCACCTTTCCCACACAGTCCTCTCCTATGACGTAGGCAGCAATCCCTACTTTCTGTGCCCCTAAAGACATTTTTATAAGCATTCACCAAAGCACGTATTGAACACTTTGTTAAAAAAAAAAAAAAAAAAAAACACCATGTCTATCTCTCCTGGCTCATCTGTGGATTCCTTGGTTTTATACATCTTTTACTTATAATCTTAAAAAAGAAAAAAAAGCCACACAACTCATTACTTAGAAATGCAGAGAGAGATCTCCCATCACTGTTTCAACTCCTTCAATGTCCACCATCATCTGGGCTGGGCCAGGCAGAAGCCACGAGCTGGAAACTAAGTCCAGGTTCCCCATTTGGGTGGCAGGGAGCCCAGGACGGACATGAGCAGCAGCTGGAATCAGAAGCTGTGGTCTGACCGGGTAACAGGTGCTCAGGAGGCGGGCATCCTAAGAGCTAGGCCAAGCACCTGCTCCCACCAATTTACCCCCTCTAACTGATTCCTTTCAAACTCTCCCACTAGCTGGCATAGCACATGACATGTTGAAAGCATAACACAGATTAAGAACACCTGGATTTAATACTACCCTACATCATTATCAGTGTCCTATAGTGTAATTAGCTTGGTAACAACTACTTTTCCTTCAACCATCTGAAACTTCATTTATTCTTCCATGGTGATGTGACATGAACACAAGGACAGATTCAATGCGGTTCACAGATGGAACTCTTGTAACGGTGTCGTCGTCTTCCCTCCTTTCCTGTAACAGCTATTTTTCAACACTGAACCACATCCTATCTTGAACGTGAAAACTGAAATTCAAGCCTGTGAATACAAAAAGCCGCTTTAACTAGACGTAACGCAGTAAACAGAGGAGCCTAGATGAGAGTGGTACAGAACCAGGCTGACATTCAGCCTTTTCATTGCCAGAAAAGTCTACAATTTAGAATCAGGCTATCTATAAACTTAGTTACCATTCATTTCTGGGGTCCCAGAGATTCCTTTAAATACAGTATTAACCATGAAGTACACAACATTGAAACTGCTTAAGCACAACTTGCCAAGTGAGGAACAGAGGCCTCAGGAATCGACACACTTTTGTGATGTAATATTTTACTTGATTCATACATCTTGGATTTGCAATATTTAAATTTCTACTGGGGCAAGTTTGTATGGAAAAAAATCCCACTTATTAAAAAAAAAAAAACTCTTCTTGTTTTCAGAAATCTAGTGAGTTGTTTTTTTTTTTTTTTTTTTAACCAATGACCACAATGTTTGGAGGACTGTGATGTAATACGAACAAGACAGAGTAAGTTTTGGAAAACGTGTCACGTTTCCATTTGGTAAAGCATGAAAAAGTGCTTTGGGAGGCTCTTTCAGGAATACACAGCATGACTTTCAGAAAATGTCTGCTCTAGAGCAGGCACCGTAGGCGGCATCAAAGGGGCCCTGCGGCCTAAACAACTCATTGTCAGAAGCTGGAGGAGACATCGTCTCTTTCTAGCGGGATGGACCACTCTACTCCTCCCCCACCCTTTATTAGCTGCTTTCTGGCCAAGTTCAGAAGTCCCAAGTCTGACCCTCCGGACACGAGTCTGATTCGGTTTACAGCAGTTACAGGAGTGTTGACTCTGGCGGCTGATTACGGAGCTAACTGGATCATCAGGCACGAATACCTGATTGGAGAGTGCGGATCTGCGCCCGAAGTGGTTGCAAAGGTGACCAAATTCTGGGATTCCGCGAGGTTGGTGTCACTCGTCTAAACAGTGTTATGGGTGCAACTGAAGACCCACCTGACCACATTACAGCGTTAGGTAAAACGTCGTCCTGCCGGGAGAAGCTTTCCGCGCGTGCAGCGATGCATCTTCCCACCAACCGCTCTCCTCAATCACAACACTGCTCCATACCTCTGCAACCCACACACCCGGGGTCCTCCCGCGCCAGACTGCCCGGACCAGGGAAGAGCGCGGAGGCCCAGGGCTGCAGCCCCAGCCACCGCGCAGGCTAAGGCCCAGCGCCAGGCAGCGCCCTCGCTCTGCCGCCCGCCCAGCAGGCCCGTTCGCACCCAGTCCGGGCCCCAGGAGTCCAGACAAGCAAACGCGGGCTCCGCACGTCTTCACCGATGACTTAGACAAAGCACCTCGCTACTAACCTTGCTCCTTCTCCACTCTAACGAGGGTGGAAAGCCGACCCTCCAGGCGCGGCTCTGAATGCGGTTGGGACTCCAAAACGCCGGGAGGAAGACGCGCGCTTCCTCCGCCGCAGTTTGCGCATGTGCGAACGGGGCGTTCTGACGCCGCCAAGGCCGTCGCTAGGAAACCTCGCTGAGGAACGCTGCGCTCTAAGGACTGGAGTAGCGATTGGTAGAATGCAGAGAAAGGGGGACGGGCCCCAAGACCACCTCTTCTTCCCATTGGGTACAATGGATGTCAATCAGCCGTACCGCGATGGGCGGGGCTGCAGGAGGGACTGGGAGAGCGGCCTTAGCAACGGTTCCCTGGTCCGAAAGGCTGCGGCTGCGCAGTGCACAGGCGGGTGAAGGTCTGGCCAAGGGAGCAGCTGGGCACATGGTGAGTGCGAAGCTCTAACCTTCTGCTGGGGTTGGAGCTGGGTCTGAGACGAAGTTCCTCCACAGCGAGAAAGGGATTTTTCTCTATGAAATCCTTATTTGATGGTGTTCCACAATGCCCAGGTGTTAATTGGCAACTTCTCCTCATGCCAACCGATATTCCTTTCCTGTGACCCTGGGCACAGAGGGGCGACTCTCCAGTTTATACTTCGCCCCTCTCAACCACGGCAGTGCCAACAGCCCAGAGTAGATTCAGAAACCTCTTTAGTCAGAGAGGAACTGAACAGAGAGAATAAGATGCTTCAAAGCTGATGAAGGCTCAGGGAGGAGCGGATTACTCGCAGCCTCCAGGAACCTTCAGCTGTGGGATACTGACAACATGGCCAGGGCGCCCCTGCTTTCCCCTGCTGGGGTGTTCCGGAGTGGGGCTGGGGGCTGCACCCAGGGGTTGTGACTCCACAGCGGCCGTGACTAACTCTTCAAGCAGGCAGAGTTGGCAGCTTAGAGCCATGGGGCAACGGAAGAGCCCAGCTGCTGCCTCCCCCAAGCTGGAGACAAGATTCCGGAATAAGGCGGCATTAGCAGCCAGAGAGTAACTGTGAACTTGCTGGCCCGAAAAGAAACAAATAATGGGAATCTGACTTCCACCTTCCAAACAGCAGGGGGATACCTTTAAAAATTAATTAATGCATTTGAAAGGCAGAGTTATAAGAGGTAAGGAAGAGAAAGATCCTCTTTCTGCTGGTTCATTCCCCAAATGACTGCAGAGGGCAGGAGCCTAGAACTCCTTTCACGTCCCCCATATGGTGGCAGGAAACGAAGTACTCAGGCCATCTTCCACTGCCTTCGTAGGCGTATCAGCAGGGACCTGGCGGGGAGTAGAACAACCAGGACTCAAATCCGTGCTGTACAAGATGGCAGCACGGTGGGCAGAGGTTTAATTCACTGTATTGCAATGCCAGCAGCCCAACTTTCTTATCCTAGCCCCTGGAGTGGTTTTTCCCTTGGGAAAATGTCGTTTACTCCTTTTGGCCTGTGTAATTTAGGACAACATATTAGAAGACAGTGGGAAAGTATATATATATCATGTCCTAATGAAGCATATGGCCAAAATCAGCATCTTTTATTATGATACAGTTTTGTTATAAAAGTAAATATTCCTTACATGGCTGTTTTTCAGATACACCATGTAAGACTTTTGTAATACTCTTCACTGCTCTGGCATTTCTTTTTTTGGACTCTTCTCCCTCTCAAACAAGTATCAGTTTTAAGCAAAAGTCTAAGTGATAAAAACAAAACAAAACAAACAAAAAAACCCAGGCTTCCCACCAAGAAAATAATAAAACTCAAAAGCACAGAATCCATAACATAAGGCTGGGCAGACTGTCCAGTTTATTAAACAGTAGGAATAACATGCTTGAATATATTTATCATCAGTTTTTTTTTATCAGTTCATTATGACTTACTCTGATTCTGCCAACTTTGTCCTAGTTGTGTAGTTCAACTGTATTGTATGTATATTACAGGCATCCAGCTGTGGCACAAGTTCAGACTCATGGAATAAAAGAGCAGAAAAAATTGAACTGAATGAAATTCAAAAGCAAGAGATTAAAGAGATCTTCGATCTATTCGATGTCAACGGGTCTGGCAGCATGGATCTGAAACAACTGAAGGTCTAAAATGATTTCCAATTCTAAACTTTGTAAGAAAGTCATTTGTGACAATCATTAAAACTTTAATACTAGTTTTCTGAAAGCTTGATATAAAGGCTCATTAGTCATACATTTGCCTTGAATTAACAAAATAGCATGCTGCTATGAATTGCAGTTGTGTTTTACAATGAGTAGGGCACAGTTCAGGGTGGCACGGTGACACACCATGCGGCACCCTCAGACAGGATCCTAGGCTTGCTGACCAGATGTCCCGGGTATGTGCTCAGCCTGTGGTCACCAATAGCTATGCTGTTAATTACTAAGTAGATATAAAGCTTTATTAAAATTTATTTCCCTCCTTTTTCAGGTTGCAATGCAGGCCTTAGGATTTGAACCAACAAAAGAAGAAATTAAAGAACTGATAGCTGAGGTCGACAAGGGAGGACTTGGCACCATTAGTTTTGAAGACTTTTTTGCTTTTATCAGTGTAAAAATGGTATTGTCAATTTTCAAAGAAATACAGCAATAGATTTCTATATTTTGGGCTAGAACAATCAGATTTCATTGAAGAAGAATTGAAACTGTCTTTATGGATGAGTGACATTTAAATAGACAGGAATCCAAGGTTAATGATGCTTATTGAAGTCTGGTGTGGAGGAAGGTTTTTTGTCGGGAAGAGTGGAGGTTATGTGGCAGGATCCAGAGAATCAAGCCCGAATCTTGAAGCCTTGTGATCCACTAACGCGTATCGAGTACCCGTTTTTGCCGGGTACCACTCTAAGGTACATGAGTAGGACAACCTTTCTGTTCTCTTGGAGCTTATATTTTTAGTGACAGAGATAAATTTACAAGAGATTCATTCTCTTAAGCACCCTGTGCTTCTGCTTCAATAAACCCTGAATTTATGTGGCTTGAAGAATGAGTATGACTGTACTGCAATAACTGCTAACAGTCTTAATAATAATAATAATAATAATAATAATAATAACAGCCAGAACTCAGCTTCCTGGTACATTGTTACTCTTGACCTCAATGACATTGCACATCCAGCTTGATAGAATAAATAAATGAAAACCCAATGACAATTGTTCCTTGATTTAAAGAGTGAAAAGGATGAAAAGGAAGAAATATTAAAAGCTTTCAAGTTATTTGATGACGATGATACTGGGTGCATAACACTCAACAATATCAAGAGAGTTGCCAAGGAACTAGGGGAAAACTTAACAGATGATGAACTTCAAGTAAGTCTGGTTTATTCCTGTAATTTGCATACTATCTGTTTAAAAAAATTATTTATTTTTATTGCAAAGTCAGATATATATATATATATATATAGAGAGAGAGAGAGAGAGAGAGAGAGCGAGAGAGAGAGAGAGGAGAGACAAAGAGAAATATCTTCTGTCTGATGATTCACTCCCCAAATGCCTACAACTGCCAGAGCTGCGCTGAACCAAAGCCAGGAACCTGGAACTTTATCTGGGTCTCCCACAAAGTTGCAGGAATCCAAGACTGAGCCATTCTCAATTGCTTTCCCAGGCCACAAGCAGGGAGCTGGATGGGAAACAGGCCCACTGGGATTATAATAGGTGCCCATAAGGAATCCTGACGCATCCAAGGCCAGGCCCTGCATACTATACTTCTAATGTTAATGGTATTAATAATATATAAAATAAATCTTGGTTTTGACTTTTATTTGAGTACTAATTCATATCTTTATTCATTAAAAGTCAAACATCTTTTGAGAGAGAGGCTGAGAAGCATGATCTCCCAAATCGTTAGTTTTGGCTCCCTGCGTGAATGCCTACATTCTAGGTCTTCCATATGAGTGCAAGAGCCCAGCTGCCTGAGCCATCACCACTGCCTCCCAGGGTCTCCATCGGTGGGAAGCTAGAGTCAGGAGCCAAATCGTGAACTGAAACCAGTCACTCTGACATAGGATCTAGGTATTTTAATCACTAAATACATGCTCCTCATTAATCTCTAACAGACTTCATGTATTTATATTTTGTTTTGCAGGAAATGCTTGATGAAGCAGACAAAGATAGAGATGGAGGAATAAATGAAGAAGAATTTTTGAAAATGATGAAAAAGACCTCTCTTTATTAATATTGCTCTTTCTGGAGAGTTGTCAACAAATTTGTATTTATTGTATAGTTTAATGATTCAATATCTCATGTATTCATTCTCAAGTTTTAGTTTATACATGTAACTTCATCTCTTGATGTCCATCCAGTCCATGTGAGAAGTTGTATATATAAACTAATATGTTATTACATCTGTAACATTGAGAAACAAACAAAAAAAAATAAGAGCTTCTTTGAACCATGAATCTAAGAACAGTATTAATTGTTATTTTAAAGCTGCAGAATCTAAAAGGCTTAAGAACTTTTAACAGGCTTAATGAAATTACCCTCAAATCCAAATGAAGTTAACAAGTAAACTGTCACTTTGTTTTTTGGTACAATTAAAAATAATGAGCATTGTTTTACAGTCATTTTTCAAATATGTAAAGTGTTAAATAAAATCAATGCAAAATTAATATTATTTTCTAAGATGCTTATTTTATTGCTATAGTTTGCATGTGTCCTCTCCAAAATTCAGGTTTTGCTAATGTGATGGCACTAAGAAGTGGAACCTTCTTAGTAATTAGTATATAGGATATGGTAGCTGCTACCTCCTAAATGAGATTAAAACCTTGTTAATTATTTTTAATATTTATATTTATTCGGAAGCCAGAGAGATATAAATGCAGAGAGATTTCCATCCAGGGGCTTACTGCTCTGCCACAAGTGGCCCTGAAGTCAGCCCAGGTCTCCCACATAGCAGGCAGCCACCCACATGCTCGGACCATCACCTCCTACCTCCTGAAGTGCACACTGGCAGGAAGCTAGAATTGGAAGTTGAGCGAAGACGTTTTTTGAAACTTAGATATGGAATTTGAATATCCCTGGTAGTGACCAAACCGATACATAAATGCTCCTCTAGGTGTCCTTTTATTTTTTGGTTTCACATAGTGAGTCTTACCCTTCCAACATCTGCTTGCATGGGAGAAAGCACTAATAAGGCCCTCACCTGATCAAATGCTGGTACCTTAACCCATGACTCTTCAACTTCAACAATTGTGAGAAATACATTTTTGTTGCTTAATAATGACCCAGCCAATGGTACTTTGAAATAGCAGCAAGAATATACTAAGGTGTAGATATCAGGAAATCATAATCATTGAGACATTTTGGAAGCTTCCTGCCATATTAGCTCTTATTGTCAGCCAACTTAGGGACAATATGATCCACAAATAATTCAGCACTCAGTAAATAACCCAAAATATCAAAATGCTGACTACATGTGATCAAAATGATTTTCTTTTAAGTGCTCATAGGTATTTAAGCAGCATTCTTATTTTAATCACCTCTATGACAGCTTCTTAAATTGCCCACAAACTGTTGGATTTGATCTTGCTCTGAAAAGAGAAGGAGAAATATTGAGAACTACGTCAGTATGAATTGTTTGGGGACAAGATAATGAAGTTAGCGTTTGGCTAAAACGCACTCAGCCTCATCTGATGATCACCTGACCTTCCCTGCCTTTATCATAAAATAATCAGAACATCTTTTCTATTTTAAGTAAAATTTATAAATCTCAAAAATGTTTTGAGTAAGAAAACATTTTGGAATGCAAGTACCCTATTAATTTTCATCTTCCATCTGAGAATAACTTAAGACTTCTAGTCTTGATTTTCTTATTATGGCAATATCCTGAGAGACCAATCTGGGGTTGGAAGCATTTTAGCTTGGTGTATACAGGAGTTTCTCTCTTAAACACAGTAGCATACCTAAACAGAGCCAATGCTCGTAAAACTCTTATCCCAGCATTGAATTAAATGTAGATGATCTCAATTGAAAAGTGAAAATGATTACGTCTCAAATTAAAAAAATCCAATGCCATGATTTTAAAAATCCCTTTTTTACTCTCAGAATTAAGCTGCAGTTTGGTGGAAGAATAAATACTGCTAGAAGATGAAACATGGTCATTGTGTTGCTACACAGTTTGAACATCTGTGCAAATCATATCACAAAATTTTTTAAAATTAAAGACAAAATTGAAAGGGAAAAACAAATGAGGACATATAAGATGATGGACTTTGTGCATATAAAAATTTACTATAAATCAACAAATTGGTAAATCCAATAGATGGGCAAAAGCTGTGGACAGATAATACATAGAGAGGGAAAGCTAAACATATTCTAAATAAGAAAAGAGACTCAATTCCTCCCATAATGTTCATAAGCAAATGCTGTGTTGGCTTTAGCTGAATACCGAAATCTTCTTATGTTGACAAAACAAACCTAAGACATTTAGCCTTCATTTCTGGTGAGTTAAAAGGAATAAGATGAAGCCATTAAAGTCACATTTTAAGAATAAATTTCTTCTTTAAAATAGCCTAAGTATACAGTTTAATTTGAATAGGTTTCTTTTTGACTTCATTTCTAATTTTCATTTATTATTTGGCTATAAATGTGTCTGCTTTAATTTCCAAATAAATGGAGACTTTTCAAGAATTTACTTCATTTTTAGAGAGAGAGACAGAAACATCCTCCATCCTCCGGCTCACTTCTCAGATGTCCATAACAGCTGGGTTTGGGTTTGGGGTCCAGATCTCAGGAATCTGAGAGGTCACTCCCTGCTTCACAGGAAGCTGGAAATGGGAACCAGCAGAGCTGGTGCAGCAACACAGGGGCTCTGCTATGGCATGTGGGTGCCCTCAGGCATGTTTCAACTGCTGAGTCAAACTCATGCTCTTGAAGAATTCATAATGACCTCACTGTTACCAGAGAATGTGATCCCACATAACACTTCTTCAAAATTTGTTGAAACATTTTCTGTGCTTCTAGGGCATATCCACTTTTTTTCTTTTTCCAGAAAAAATGTAAGGGAGCCCATGTCATGGTCTAGCAGTTTAAGTTGCCAGCTACAATGACAATATCCCATATGGGCACCAGTTCATATCCTGGCTGCTCCACTTCTGAGCCTGCTCCCTACTAATATTCCTGGGAAAGCAGCAGCAAGTGTCTTGGGTCCCTGCAGCCCAGGTGGGAGATTCAGATGGAGTTCCAGGTTTCTGACTTCAGCCAGGTTCAGCCCTGGCCACTGCTGTCGTTTGGAGATTGAACCAGTACATGGAGGCTCTTTCTCTGTTTCTCTCTTTCTGTAATTGCCTTTCAAACAAACAAAGCTGATATCTCATTCTCTGCTAGTTCTTCAGTCCTGCAACAGCTGGGATTGGGCAGGGCCAAATCTAGGAGCTGGGAACTGTCCAAAAGTTCCTCATGGGAGCGGCAGGGACCCAAGTAGTTGAATCATCACTTGAAACCTTCCAGGGTCTGTGTTAGCAGGAACTCAGAGGCAGGAGCCAGAGCTGGTTATCTAACTCAGGAATTCTAATGTGGTATATAGGACATGAGCATCTTAACAGGCATTTAAGACCAAATGCTTGCCCCACAAGTTCTTTGACATTCCTTCCACTAACAGATGGAATCCTAATGCCCTTTCCTTGAACATGTTTGAGATTAATCTAGCTTGTACCCAATAGAATCATGGAGAGGGCACTGCCTGATATCTGAAGATAGGGTAGCAAAGATGATAAAGCTGCTGGATGGCTGGTTGTCTTTCCAAGCACGCAACCTCGAAACTCAGCCACCACACTCAGGTGGCTACACAGAAAGGTCACATTTAGGTGTTCTGGGCCTAATGCCAAGGATGTTTCAGCCAACAGCTCTCATCAGCCACCGGACAGAAACATTAGCAAGCATTTAATTTTAAAAAATTGTCTGAAAGGCAGAGTAACACAGAGAGGGAATGAGGGAGGGAGGGAGAGAGAGAGAGAGAGAGAGAGAGAGAGAGAGAGAGAGAGAATCTTCCAGTCTATGGTTTGTCATTCAAATGGTCTTAACAGCCAACTCTGGGCTGGGCTGAAGCCAGGAACCAGAAACTCCAACCTGATTTCCCATGCAAGTGCAAAGGCACAAGTTCTTGTGGCATTATCTACTGCCTCTCCAGGTGAATTATCAGCTGAATTGGAAGTGAAGCACTTGGGACCTGAAATGGCAATTCTGATATGGGATGCTGGGATAACAAGCAGCAACTTCCCCTGTGTGCCATATTAGCCCCTAGTAATCTAGTGTTAGATGGTTCTGGCAACCAGCCCTTGAGCCCTCCTAGCTGATCCTAGCTAGGGTAGAGAAAAACTTCCCTAAATTGAGTCCTTCCTAAATTAAAGATCCTGGAGCAAAACAAATGTTGTGATGTCTAAGACTAGTATAATACATTTTGGGATGATTAGTTAAGCACCAGTAGAATACAACATACACCTTCAAATTATTACAGCTCATCCTCATCACTTTTTATAAAGAAAGATTTATTTTATTTGAAAAGCAGAGTTATGGAGAGAAAGGGATATTAGGAGAGGGAGGGAGAGAGAGACAGAGAGAGAGAGAAAATATGAATGAATGAACAAATATCAGTGTTATCAGTCTTCCATCTGCTGGCTCACTCCCCAAATGGCCATAATAGCTAGAGCTGGGCCAGGCCAAAACCTACAGCCAGGAGCTTCTTCCAGGTTTCCCATGTGAGTACAGGGGCCCAAAGTTGTAGACCATCCTCTGTTGCCTCTCTGGGCACCTTAGCATGGAGCTGAATTGGAAATTGAGCAGCTGGGACTTGAACCAGGATCCATATGGGATGCCTACACTGCAGGTGGTGGACTAATCCACTATGCCACAATTTCAGACCTCTTCTCCCACTCCCCCACCCTCTCCTGGCTTAATCCCTTTCTTACTACTTTTAACAATTCCCTAACATGGAAGAATTTAGTAATTTTTTCTCCACGTGTTTCTCATCTCTTGCACTACTGTCTGTATTTTGCTTCTACATTTATTTACGTACCAACAAAACCCATATTTTTTTGTGATTCTAAAGCATTCGGTGTTCAATTAGCTCCTGACACAGTTATCCCTGCTGGTGTTCTGCATTGCTTTCGGCAGGTCTGTGGTCCCACACAGGGTAATTTTCTTCAGTCTGAAAAACTCTTTTACATTTGTTGTGGTAAAGATCTGCCACTGATAAATGTGCTTAGCTTTTGTTTGTCTGACAAGACCTTCATCTTTGCCTTTTCTGAATCATATTTTTCCTGGGTATAGAATTCTAGTTGAAAAGATAGGAAGGTTTTTGCTTCTTTGATCATTTGATGTCATTCCATTATGTCCTGATTCCCATGCTGCTTTGGGGGTCATGGGTGGTGTTTCCCACCCCACCCCCACCACAAACACTTTTAAGCTTTTTTTTTTATTTGTCTTGGTTATTAGCAACCTGACTATGATGTACTTAGGTGTGGTTTTCTTTCTCCATGTGGCTCACTAAGTGTCTTGATTTTGTGGTTTGATGTCTTTAAGCAACTTTGCAGCGTTTTTAGGCAGGGACGTCTTCAGATGTTGTTTTTGAGCGATCACATCCTCTCTATTTCTAAGACTCTACAAACATGT